TCAGCTTCACAAAGGGACACTTCCAGGGTGGTGATCAACTTTGAAATAGTAAATGAGCCCAGCCAGTGTAGGTCAGTGATTGAGCATAGACCCATGCACCAAGAGGTCATAGGTTCTATTCCTGGTCAGGGCACATGCCCGGGTTGTCGGCTCTATCCCTGGCAGTGGGGGTCATGCAGAAGGCAGCTGATGTTTGTATCTCTCCCGCCCTCTCTTTTCCTCTCTAAAATCAATAAAAACATTTTTAAAAAAGAGGAAGGAGCTTTAAGTAAAAGAAAAAAAAAAAAGAAAAAAATTCATACAAAAAATCTAAGTGCCCCACAAATAAATCAGCAATACTAATATTACACAGATGATGCCTCAGTGTAGAAGTTATTTAATAGCTGAGATTTAAAAAGACTACCCATCTAAACCACCACATAGAGCTTAAAATGTATTAATAAACAATGTACTTCAATATTAATAAAAGCACTTATCTATTCCTTCATATAGATGAAGCTAACACTAATGCTCTATCATCAATAAGGCTTATGCTTTGAAGTTTCAAACTGAACATGTTCAAAGGACAAGAAAAAACATAATGCATCCACAAATTACATATATATAGTTTATAGAAGCACATGCACACATTATAGACTATCAGATACCTATTTACTATTCAATCTGGTTGTTTAATGAGAGGTCTCATTATATCATAAAAAGATATGTGGGTGTCCTGGCCTGTGTGGCTTGGTTGGAGCATTGTCCCATGCACCAAAAGGTTGCTGGTGAGGGCACATACCTAGGTTGCAGGTTTGATCTCCAGTGGGGCCGTTTGTGTGTGTGTGTGTGTGTGTGTGTGTGTGTTGGGGGGAGCACACACAACCAACTGATGTTCATTTCTCTCTTCTCCTCTCTTAAAAAAAAAAAATCAGTAAAACATATCCTTGGGTGGGGATTAAAAAAAACAAAGATATGTGGGTGATGTTTTTCAACTACCACTTTCAAGCTTCTAAACCTATGAAGCAATGAGATTATAAAAGTTGTCTACTCTGTATTACCTGAAAAAGTCCTCTCACATCTTCCAGCTTTCCACAGTTTAATAGTCTTGTCTGCTGATCCAGTTAACATTAAGCCCTGTTCAGGTAAGATCTTTACAGCCCAGACTGCAGCTGTATGACCCTGAAAGTAAAATGGATATTAATTTAAGTTGCCACCGAGTCATCGTACTTAATTATTATCTAGCACATTCACACAGAACTACTGTACCTGTAAGGTCATCATGCATTTGTCATTCAGCCAGACTTTAGCAGTGGTGTCCCATGAGCCACTAAGTAATGTCCCAAATTTTCCAGATGAAAGACTACAAACTAAAGGGAAAAAAAAGGCATTCATATAGAAAAAGTTCAATCTTGTTAGTTCTTAAAGCATTGCAATTTAAAAAACACAGTGATAGTATATTAGCCAAATAAGGCTTAACTCAATGGAGATGCAGAAGTGTGCACTGATCAAGACTGTTGTCAGACTGCCTGATGCAAGTACTACAGATGACACTTCTGAGCTGACCACAGGGATATACTCAACCTCAGGTTCATCGTCTGTAAATGAGGGAACAGGATTAAGTGGGTTGCACAATCTAAGAAACCACATGAGAAGGCAATGCAAATAATTTTGAAATGCTGTTTATATAGATACTTAGGGTCACTTTATGACCAAAAAAAACTGGAACTAAGTGTTCAATAGTAATGAAATAGTTAATTAAATGTTTTATTGATGTAAAATTATACAGGCTAAAAATTATAAATGAAGAGTCATCTAAAAACATGGGGGAAAAAAAAGACAGAATTCTGATTAAAAATGGCAGACTGCCTGCAGTAATGCTATAAATGGTATTAATCTACAAGGCCAAAGAAGACTGAAACTAGCATAACTGCTTTAGCATAAATGGAGGAAGGTTATAATTCAGGGGTGGGCAACCACTGGCACGCGTGCCAAACATGGCACGCCAGTAACTTTTGCTGGCACGCAAAACCCTCTCTTATAATCTTCCATTTACAATTTTTTTCTTAATATTGACTTTTTTATTTATCAGGTAAATTCAGTGTAGGTGCATCTTAGATAAATAAATAATTTTACATAACAAGTTATCTTAAAGACCATAGACATGGATTGACGAGAGAGGGGGAAGAGCAATTTCTATGCCTCTGCCTTAGCTCTCCCTGCCTTCCTAGATCCGACCAGTGTTTTGGTTTCATCCACATACACTTGTGAATCTTTGTTCTCAGTGATGAATTTTGTTAAGTCTCGTAATAGGAGTAGCCTGATGGATGAAAGTAGTAGCTCGTGCATATCTCTGAAGGTCACGAAATATAAACCTGATGTAAAATCTCTGTCATCAGTGATGCAGCAGCAAAAGTCCCACTGATAATATCAAACGGAGTCATAAAGTTTTCTGTCGGACTATCAGAGTACATGTATACATTAAAAAATAAATGTATTTTTCATCATCATATACTGTGTTTTTGTCGCTCAAATGAATTTTATTATTTCTTCAAGGTTCTTCACATACGTACACCTTAAGAGATATCAAGTAGGCGTAACATGTTCTCAAAAAATTAAGGTTGGCACACAGAAGAATTTTGAGTCAGAGATTTTGCTGGTCTTGGCACGCACTCACCAAAAGGTTGCCCACCCCTGGTCTAGGTCTTGGTCAACTGAATATGCAAGATGCAGAGTGATTATGAGTTTGCAACCATCTTATGCTATCAAGA